TTCGGTCGTTGAATTCATTATCCAAAAGGTAGAGAATCACACCTTGATGACCACTGCATGCTAAAAAATATGAACAAATTTAATCAATTAATTAAAATAATAAAACAACTTCGATATGTTAATGAGTGGAGATGTCCGGTAACTCGAGTTAAGATACATACCATAATAGTTAATGAAGGTGAACAGATCGGTATACCAAAGAACACAACACAAAAGCTTTTGCAACATATTAAAATAAACCAAAATCCTAGCTTCCAAAAAATAGAACTGAATGGATCTGTACCTTCATAGATGAATAGTTATGTCATCATTGTCCTTCAGCATATGTCACAAAAACATTAACGATATTACCGTCCATCATCTTCATTTGTGCTCCAGGACCATTTGGAACAATGGTACAAAATGATGAATCTCCTGTTTGGAGAATAAAGCCATATTAAACCCCTAAATTGAGAGATAAAGAGGTAGAAGGAGACATCGAGTGTTCATATATTTCATCGAACCTGGTGGAAAATGATAAGATTGCGATGAAATCAAAGATTTAATATGCCAAGAAAGTTCAAAATTAGTTTTTTATATTTCCAAGCAAGAATTTCACCTTCGGTTGTATGAAGAATTGAAAAAAATCTTAATCAAACTAAAGAACCTGTGTCATTGGATCTTGAAGGATTAGGTAAAGGCATCGCTTGGGTTAACGACAACATCAGTAGGAAGGTATTGGCTGAGTTAGACACTGGTGGTGGTGAGTGGTGTTTAAGTCTCTGGTTTAGGGTTACAGAGAAGGAGTAGAGTGAAGCAGGTCGTTTAATGGGGTAGGTGGTTGAAGGTGGAAATTAGGGTTTTCCTTAGATTCAAGAAGGCGATGAAAGAGTGTGTGAGAGATACTATACGATGGAAAAGTTCAACAAAATTTGGGGGTTGTGACTAAAATAACAAAATCACATACCCTGAAACTCAAAAATTATGAAATAAAGATGAAATCTAAGATTTTCACTAAAGGCATAGAGCATTTGATAGATTTGTTACCTGCACCTCCATTCGATCATAAATCAAGATACAAAGCTACCAATAGAGGGTTGTAGATGCACTTTTTACGGGAAGCATGTGGCTTTAGTGGTGATTTGGTGTAATGTAGATCATGGCAGTGGTTGAGGAATCTATGACAGTGGCGGTGAGTCGGTGGCAGTGGAGGCTCAACATTTGATAGAATACGCTCCCCATATTCTAGGGTTTCTTGGAGACGGTGGATCATAGAGGGTGAGAGATAAATACAACGAAATGCCTTATAACGTGTATAGAGGGAAAAGACTGATCAATTCAATTGGTTTTGAATGATTCAATAGGAAGAAATCAAGGGAACAGATAATATTTAGTTTGTTTTGTTTACAGATAAGATTTATTATTTGTTAATGCATAAATTGCTTGTAAATATTGCAGTAATGTTTGTACCTCTTAAAATTCAGCATTTAGAGGTAAATGCTTATTAAGGTATAAAGATATATATATATATATATATATATATATATATATATATATATTTATTTATTTATATTTATATAGGGTTAGGTTATTATATTCTAACTATCTATTGTGTGCATGTTGGATTGATTCTGGACCAATAATTTTTGTTATTTTAAAAAAGTAATTAATGTATATTACATGTTGAAGATATAATGAGTATTAATTAAATCTTCAGCATTTAATATTAATTAATTACTTTCTTAAAATAACAAAAATGATTGGTTCAGAATCAATCTTAAATGCACATAATAGATAGTAGAAACATTTGAACCTAACTCTCTCTCTCTCTCTCTCTCTCTATATATATATATATATATATATATATATATATATATATATACACACACACACATATCTTTACTATATTATAAAGCATACATATCAAAAGTCTTAAATACAATTTTTAATGCATTTTGTACAATAAAATAAAGCACCTCTTAAAAGAATGTCTTAAAGACAAATTGCAATGAATAATGTAAAACACGTAAATGCATCCAAATAAAAATCCGGTGAGATAGCCAAATCGGACTCATCCACCAATCATGTTGAATCACGCGGATCACTCTCTTTGATCGATCGGATGATATATTCCCTCAAAATATGAAATGAATTCAACGGATGTAATTGACATAAAAGACTAGCCATGTTCCCTATCCACATCTCAAGTTTAGAATTCAAATCCAAAGACAATTGAAATCCACCACTCTAAATTTTTGTCTCACTTCCTCCACGACTCCTTTGCTCTCTTTAAAAAATTCTAAACCAAGCAGTCACCACCGTTATCCATCGTTAGTCTCATTGACACCACCACCACTTTCGAGGCCATCGTTTACAGCCGCCACCACCTCCATACCTGACCTCATGACCAGTGGCCATCTCTCATTACTTCTGTTTATCCGGATATCACCATCTGTTCATCTCTTTCTAGCCTTCGCTCTCAGACACGCAAAAGGATTTCTGGATCTAGATCGTCAAGCGACAACAATCTTGATTTCTCAGTATTTTGTTCATTGACATGTTTTGATTTGTATGTGTATGTATTTTTGTGTATATATAGTTCAAGTCGTTAAATGCTTTTAGTTCAAGGTGTTAAATTATAGAAACAGAAACATGAAGATAATAGTGCCACTAGCCATAACGTCACATTGTCTTCCTCCTAGCTCTCAAAGAAATAGATATTCATATATTTCTTTGCCTTGATTGCTTTTTTGCTTTCAGATTTGCATTTCTTAGTTTTTTGAACAAAGCTTGAAGAAACTTATATGAGTTTGTTTCCATTGTATGTTGGTTTTTGCACAGGAAATTTTACTATGAAGATGCAAGATCTCAATCAAAAAAAGAATGCATATTGTACTGTAATCTTTCATTCTTTCATCTGGATCTGTATATATGATTTCATATAGATCTTCAAAAAAATTGTAAATGTTATTGTTTTTTTTTGTTTTGTAGTATAAGTTAATTGAACATGAACGGGTTACAAAAGTTACTGTTATAGAAAATAATTTAGGTTTTTATGATGCTTTACTAAATGGATATTTCTGCATTGATAAAAATGAAGAAACGTTAAAAATGTTTATTGTAAATTTAATGTTTTTTGGGATATTTATTGATTGGTATTATTAACATGTTTATGATTATGATGCTTTTTGTTATTATTAGCGTGTTTTAATCAGTTTTAATCATATATAATTGACATATTCCTATGTAATTTAATGGTTTAATTTGTGTTTGATTAAATATTGATTGTCTCTTATTTGTGCTTTATGTTTCAAATATGTGATTATGCTTATTATCACATTTTTTTTAATTTGTCTTTGTGATTGATAAATATTATTATAAACAATTTTTTAAACCATACAAGTATGATTCAAAAGTTGAAAGGTAAAAAGGATATATGGTTCATAAATTAACATCAAATGTATTAAAGATAAATATAATATTGCTTGCAAATGAAATGTTTTGAGATATTTTAGGTAATAATATTAAATTTACATATTAGATATCCTTTGGACATTAGTGTTGAACTTACAGCTGGACATAAATATCAACCCCTTCTTCTGTCATATCCATTTGATGTAGAAAGTTGCATGTGACAGCTCTGATTTGTTTCTAGGAAAATGTACATAATTATCACCTGCAATTTTATTTGAATTTTATGTACCTTTAAGCTGGATTCAAATGCAGTGTTATGGGCTACTAATTGAAAAAGGAATTAAAAATCAAGCTTGTAGATACTTAGCCACAGCCTTTTCATTTGATTGTGTTTTTTAATATTTTATTATTTGTATGTGTTTGTTTCGTTATATATTTGTAAAGATTAGCAAATATTTTCACTCTTTTAGACAATTATAATCTATTTTTTTTCATATATTTCCCTCTTTTAATAATGTGTTTGTTGGATTATTACTAACACATTTGAATGCTAATCTTCAAACGCAACTCTTTTAAAAATAATTTTGTTGCAAACGTTGCTATATAATCATATTGGAAAATGTTAATTGTGTTTGTTTTACATCATTTTTCTCATAAACTTTTAGTTTATATTATTTAGAAAAAAGTTAAGTTACTTCTTAGAAACGTAAACATGTTTTTCAAAAATATTATGTTATTAAAACAATTTTATTGATATCTTCAAATTTTGTATTATATTTTTTAAACTTAACTGAAAGAAAAGAAATAAAGAAAGTGTGAGGCTCTAAAACAAATAAATATATAAAACTACAAGTAATATTGTACGTGTTAAAGTACAAAATCAAATTATGGGGATTTAATATTCTGTATAAGAATTGGTTTCAATTGGATTGCAACAGAGAAAGAAATAAATGAAAAACAAAAAGATTACATGGTGATTTTAACGAGGATTAAAATATTTAAACGAATGAGACACGGTTTTTTTGGCTAATAATTTGCTCAATGAATAATTAGTTATTTGATGATTATAATATTTAAACGAATGTGTCAACAATTTTTTTGGCTGATAATTGGCTCAATGAATAATTAGTTATTTGATATTACCAGATCATCGAACAAACTAAAATGGAAACTAGACACTAAATGGACAAAACAAAGATAATCTATATTTTGTAATAAATAAATAAATGAATTATATTGTGATTTTTTTGTATTTAGGAAAAAACGACGTCGATTCTATACATACATCCAACAAAGTCAACATTCTATACATGCATCCAACAAAGGCAATGAGAACAATGTGTGATATGTTTGTTTTTTGGATTATGACATGTTTATATGTAACAATGACCAAAATATTATAAGCAAAAAACACCCCACATGCATATGATGTTAATTATTGAAACTTCAACAGAAAAAAAAAATTAGAGTTGATATTTAGCAATTCATGTTAATAAAAAAATGACCGCAATCAGAGTGATTTTTGTTAACTGACTTACATGTTTATAAAGTAAATTAATCGTCGAATAGAAATTATCCTCCGCCCGCAAAAATAAACTATTCGCCGGATGTTGGAAAAAACTAATCACCGGATGCGGTATTTTTATTCCATAATTTTAATTTTATCCCAAAACGGTCTGCGGGAAAAACTAATTGCCGAAAGAAACTATCCTGTGCCCCGCATCGCGCGATTATCCTACTAGTATATATATATATATATTATAAAACATATATCTTTATGTCTTAAAAACAATTTATGTAGCATGATGTACAATAGAATAAAGCATCTCTTAAAAAAATGTCTTAAAAGACAAGTTTTTATGCTTGAGATACAATACTTCAATGCATTAATAATCTACCATCACATATATATTAGGGACTCACAAGAAATTAAGACTTCCTTCTTAAATTAAGGAGGTATGATCTTGATCATTGAATTTTTTCTTAAAACAATCTATACCGTTGAAACATTTACTGATTTATAAAGGAAAAGATTCAACCAATCAAAACCAACTTATTTACTTCACACGGATCACTCTTTTGAATCCAGTGGCTAAGAAACAATTTGACAAACATAAAATCAATCAACGGATACAAAACACACTTCAAACAAACACAAAACAATTTTATGTTATTATTTAATAACCCTCAATTGCAATTCCAATCACAAATAAAAAGATGGGTACTTTCTAAGACAGAAATTAAACATATAAAATTTGGTCAATTTCTAAGAGAGATGTTGAAGATCTGCCGCCAACATTCATAGAAGCAAAAATCGTCTGGATCATCTTTATCGAAATATTTTGTTATATTTTTGCATTGTTTCTATAACTTTGTAACTTTTACTTTTATAGTCACGTGTATGTTATTTTCGTTTAAGCAACTTGTTTAAAGAAAATGTTATCTAGAGATCAAATAAAGAAACGTACAAAAAATGTTCTTGAAATCTTGGATTTTCAAATTTTGGATGTTCAAAACATGCATAAAGTAATGTTTCTCTATTTGATCTTTAAAGAATATTTACAAATTATGGAGATGTAAGAATCTAAATAAAAACAACACTTCTGAATTAACTAAAAACAAAAGCAAATTAACAAAAGAACAAAACAAATCATTCTTTCACCAAATAGGTAGATATAAGAAACCTTCTTTTCCTAAAGAAAAAAATAAAACAGAAAACATGAGAAAATCTGGAAAAAGAATTATGAGCAACATGTTTTTTTCTGAAAAATATAAAATTAATTATTGTCTATACATACCAAAAGATAAAATAAAATAGAGCTCTATGAATAAAGAAAGAACAAGCCGTTGTTGATCTACGAACCATAATCTCCGTCATTTGTTATTTCAGGTTTCTTTCGGATCCGTTTCAGTGAGAAATCACAATGGGCAAGATCTGGTCGGAATGAAGAACAAGATGGGTTCCTGGCGAAAGCATGGATACAGAGGCGGAGGAGGTAGAATGTCCAGGAAAACGGAGTAGATGGTTGTTTAAGTTGCAGGGAGGGAGGAGGTAGTTGCAACGGTGATAAAAGTATAGTTGATGGTGTCGGCAATGGAGCCAGATATAGAGGCTGATGAGGTGGTGGACTGGTGGCGTTGGTTATTGAGGTAATGAGGTGGCAATTACAGTAATGGAGTCGGTGGTGATGGAGGCGGCTCCTTTTAAGGGTGGGTGAAAGGATATTAGGTTTAGGGTTACCGTGTTTAAAAGACGAATATTGATTAATATATGTATAAATTGGATTTTAATCTCCCGTAGTTTAATTAGAGCAAATACATTATAAAAAACGAATATTGATTAATACATCATAAAGCAAATACTAAATATCTTTAAAAAAAAGAGATAAGTAAATAATTTTAAAATAAGGCTCATAATTTATTAATTATTGTTTAATTAGAATTAGTATTACACTATTTTTCAATTTTAAAAAGTAAATTCTTTTATATTTAAAAAGTAAATTCTACGTCAATATTAAATATTTTTGGAATATATCCAAATATTATTACTTAAAAACATTAATTGTCCTAAAATTAAAAATTAAATAACAATATCCAATAATAAGAATTTATAACAACCACTAACCTAGCTTATAATAAAATAATGTATTCTTTATTATTTTATTACAAATTTATGACTCATAATTTCTTTTTTAATTTTTAATAAGACTTTTATTGTTTTAAATTATAATATAATTATTTTTGGGGATATATATATTTTTTCCAAAAACATTATTTATAATATTTATTTAACAGTTTAAATTAAAATTTAATAATTTGGTTTCCAGAGAATGTAATTTAACAAACAAAAAACAAAATTACTTAACATATGTTGTTCGAATTTAACCGTAAATCAAACTAAACAAGTTGAACTAAAATAAATCAAAAAAATAATTAAACTAAAACCGAATTTTATCGAACATTATTTGGTTTGTTTCGGTTAATATTTTCATATCAAAAAATCGATTACACCAAAACTAATAGACAACAACTAACATTTTAGTAACATAGATTTATTTTTAAAACATAACATTATGTTCAAAGAAAACTAATCTACCTCTACAACCTTAAACTATAATCGTCGAAACCGAACTACTCACCTAAAAGAAACAAATCACCGTCTTGGCACGACGCCCAACACATTGCAAATTAGCAACATACTTTATTTTTAACCGAAACAGTATGCCAAAAGAAAGTAATCTCCCTCGACATCTAATCACCGAAATGAACAATCCGATACCAAATAATCCGCCAGAAGGTTGAAATGAACTATCTGACACGAAAATGAAACTAAACTAATCGTCACATGGAAACTATCTGCCGAAATTAACTATCCGCGCCGCCGCATCGCGCGGGTACCCTATATATATATATATATATATATTATATATATATATATATATATATATATATATATATATAGGTATGAGATCGGTTGAGAACTCATAGTTTCCCGAGAACTAAAAGTGGAGCGTTGAATCAAAATTAATTCATTAAGAACATGATCGTCATCTTACCAATCTCATTTAATGTTTAATTTTTTGTGTTATTGATCATATTAAATATAAATGTTTAAAAAGTTACATAATAAATAAAATTTTCTGATTTTTTTAAAAATTGATTTTTTTTGATTTTTTAAAAAAAAAAGTGCAGATTTTTTAAGTTTTATAGAAAACATGAATTTATGAAAAAAAATTGAAAAAAATATTTTTTTTCAAAAAACTGCAATTTTTTTCAAAAAACCGTATTTTTTTTAAAAAAAAACTGATTTTTTTTTTCAAAAAAACTGAATTTTTTTCAAAAAAACTATAGTTTTTTCAAAAAAACTGTAATTTTTTCAAAAAAACTATAAATTTTTTCAAAAAAACTATAAATTTTTTCAAAAAAACTGCATTTTTTTCAAAAAAAAACTGCAATTTTTTTAAATAAAAAAATTGTAATTTTTTTCAAAAAAAAACTGCAAGTTTTTTAAAGAAAGCTGCATCTTTTTCAAAATAAAAACTGTTTTTAAAAAAAAACTACAATTTTTCAAAGTGTTTTCATGTCTTTGTGTCAATATTTCCTTATTTTCTTCAATTTATCATTTTTCACTTCTTCAATATTCACCAAAATTTCTTCCAAATCTACAAGAAAATTAAAAAAAAATTGATTTGATGCAAAAACACTCACAAAAATACATATGTGATTTTCATGTGATTAACATATGAATCACATGTGATTCACATATGAATCACATTTACATATGACATCATATATAAATCACATGTAAATCACATGTGAATCACATGTAATTCATATGTGAATCACTTGTGATTTACTTGTGAATTACATGTGATTCATATGTAAATTACATATGAATCACATGTAACTCATATGTGATTCACTTGTGATTTACATATGAATTACATGTGATTTACATGTGAATCACATGTAATTTATATGTGAATCACTTGTGAATTAAATGTGATTAATATATAAATTACATATGAATCACATGTAACTCATATGTAATTCACTTGTGATTTACATGTGAATCACATGTAATTCAAAAGTGATTCACTTGTGATTTACATGTGAATCACAAGTGAATCATATGTGAATTACATGTGAATCATATGTGAATTACTTGTAATTCATATGTGATTCACTTGTGATTTACATGTGAATCACATGTAATTCATATGTGAATCACATGTAATTCATATGTGATTCACTTTTTATTTACATGTGAATCACATGTAAGTCATATGTGATTTACATGTGAATCACATGTAATTCATATGTGGTTTACATGTGAATTACATGTGAATCACATGTAATTCATATGTCATTCACTTGTGATTGTTTTTTTATACCATTTGCCACACCCCAAAACCGGAACGGCGGAAACGTTCGGGGCGGAGGACGTCATGTACAGTATCACAACAATGCATAATAGTAAAACAAGCAACAACATCATCCATTGCATTAATAGTATATTTTAATACAAGTGTGTTCTGTATAGTTTATAAGACACCAAAAATATGAATCAAAATAAGAGATGAGTCTTGAATGTGCTCCATCTTCTCAAAACCTGGTCATCGGTACCTGTCTACTGGTGACCTGAGAATACAAGTTATTTTGAAAGCGTAGATCAGCATTAAAGCTGGTGACTTCATAAGTATTTTAGTGTCATTGTTTGTATAAGTTTGAAGAAAGTGCTTGTAAATGTTTGATGTAAATGTTTGTAAGTGCTTGATGTAAATGTTTGTAAACTTCCTAGAAAATCCTATATTTTCTACTAAAGTAGTCTTCTACCAAGACTCAACTGTTCTTTATGTTTGTTCTTTTGTAAAAGTGTGTTGTTTCCCAAAGTATGACTATCATTACCAAAATATAGTTTTCATTACCGTTTATGTGAGAAGATCACAATGTGAATGAAATGGGAAAATAAAGATGTACTGTAGTTTTATCTATGTAACTACCAATGTACTAACTACCTTAAACCTATTTGTTTATGTGACATCCCCATTTTCACGGCCAGAAAAGACCGATTTTGTTTATGCTTTATAAAAATCAGAGTACCTCTTTTAATAAAAATGTTGCGGAATTTGTTCCCAGTAAAACATGATAAATACGTTATCAAAGCATTTCCGAAGAAAAGTATTTTTATTCATTTTAAAACATTTTGTATGTCATCGCCAATACAGAAACATAAGCATAAACATAACTTACATTCATTATCACTAGTGATTTATATCTCCCTAATCTCTCAGTGTAATGTGACGAAACCTAGTATTATTACCACTAGAGTTTAGTATATTATTCACCGAGACTAATTAATAGTCTAGCTATTATTACTATTATATAAGCGTTAAAAAAATACTTATATAACCCATAATAATAGCCCAAGTACTTATTATAAGTTCCTAATAACGTTACTATAATTAAATAAAAGCTATATTAAAAATAGATTAGGTGTAGCTCACTTACAGCGAGTTTTATAGAAAACCGGGCTTTACTTGGAGCAGCGTTCCCGAGCCAAAAAGCTCTTCTTCTCGGAGCCGTCGAGCACTCCGGGGCTTCCGCCTCGTGCCAGGGAGGTTCCCTAGGCTTTTCGGGGGGTTTCGGGCTAGAAAGAGATTCTAGAGAGAGAGTAAAGAGAAGAAAGAATGGGAAAGGTGTGAAGAAAATGAATGTGAGAGAGGTTCTATTTATAGGGTGAAAAATGGCTGAACTTGGTGCCACATGTCACCATCTAGTGGCAAGACTTGGGGAGAAAGCAATGGCCAAGATTGTGCCACATCACCCATTTTCGCACAACACACTTCCGACTTCTAAAATCCGTAACTTTCACATACGATCTCCGTTTTTGACGTTCTTTATATCCACGCATAGGTAAAAATAAGATCTACAACTTTCATTTTGACTCCGTCGGCTAATTCTCGACCGATCTTAAATTTAACAGTACGAGGAGATTATACTGTTAAATGTCCGCGTAAAATTCATAACTTCTACATACGGACTCTGTTTTCGTCTGTCTTTTTACCGTTGAGTTCCTATTAATGAGATATTCAATTCTCATTTAGGTTGCGTAGGCCAAAAACCGCTCGATCTAAAATTCGAGTTTCAGGCTGTGCACTGTTAAGCCAAATCTTAGAAAATTCATAACTTCCTCATACGAAGTAAGATTTGGGCGTTCGTTTTTTGTATGTTCTCGGTTTAACATATACTACAACTTTTGTTTAGATTTCTAAGGCTAAAAAGTCATCCATCGTAAATTCACTATTTACGTCTCCCGGTGTCGTGCCGGTTTTGCCGTAAAACTTCGACGGACCATAACTTCTTCGTTATAACTCGGATTTCAACGTTCTTTATATGTACGGAACCCTTGAGACGTATTCTACAACTTGGTTAAGATTATTTATTCTAAATAATCTTTTGTCAAAAATTCATTTTCGACCCCTATTATCTCTAAATTGACTAGCCCGGATCTACGGGCGTTACAATTATCTCCCCCTTAGGATGATTACGTCCCGGAATCATCAACGAAACAGGGCTCACATGATGACTCCATACGTTATCTCTTCATCCTAAGTAATAACCGTAACTTTGATGTTTCTTCGAACGAATATCTAACTCTAAGACTTCCTGATTGCAGGCGGTGCTCGATCTTGCACTTGCTCCCTATCTCACATTAGACTCCAAATTATGACCTTCAAGTCACAATCTCGATCCTTACTGGAGACTGCTTCTTCTTCTTAACAAACTTAAGATAAGTTA